TGAAGTTTGCAGCAACAGAAGGATCTGCTGTTCCTTACTAGTCCTCACCCCCTTTACAACAACGCTGTGGTAAACACAAAACACTATACTTCCATGATATACAATAAGAAGCAGAAGCAATACAGCTTTGTTAGGTATCGCAGTCAAAAAATGTGATACTTAGCTACAGTGGCGTAACAACCGGGGGGGCAGCAGGGGCGCGGGCCCCGGGCGAAAAGTGAAGGGGGGGCGCCGGCCGAAAATGGCACTTTCGGCTAAGTGCCGAAAGTGACATTTTCCTGCCGTTTTGTCGGCGCGGCCAGCTTTCATACATATGTTAGCATAACCCCCCAAATTTCCTCACTTTTCCATTTCCATTTGCTTAAAGGAGAACTTTGTGGTAAGTGTTTTTCCCCCATAGTTCTCCTCAGGGTCACGGGAGGACAAAAACTAGCGTCCTCCCGTGACCCCAAGCTCAGTATATCGCGAGCTACAGCTTGCGGTATACTGAGACCGCCACAGCCTGGACGGATCCCTATATTACTGTCGAGATCCACCCAGCTGTGTGATTGACAGCTGGCTCTGCCTATCTAGAGGCTGAGCTAGCTGTACCCTCTCCCTCCCCCGTCCGTTCCTCCAGTCATCGCTAGAGGATCGGAGCAGGGAGGGGGAGAAACCCTGCAGGGAGCCGTGAGGGACAGTAACGGCTCTCTGTAGGGACAAGATTGAGAAGTGAGCGAGCAACGGTATGTGTTTGCTCACTTCCCAAACTATTGAGCCGGCGTGTGACAGTTTCATTGTCATGCGTCGGCTCGAACTATGAGGTTGAGTGAAAATCACTCACCTCATAGTTCTCCTTTAACCTCTTGCCGTCCGCCCGTAGTAAAAAAACGGACGGACGAGTTTAACACCGCGGATGTCAACTGGTTAATACCCCCTACTGTCTATTGGAGGGAAACGGAGGCTACAGAATTTTTCATTTCCCATTTACCCTAACTCACTCATCTCATACCAAAACAAACACACACACCCCCCAAATAAAACAAAAAACTATGTCTGATTGTATAATTTTTCACTTTTTTTCCTCCCTTCTCATATATTATTCTTCCTTTCCAACATATTTCTACTCCTTTCACCTAATCTCATAGGAATTGCTGAAGTGTGCTAGTTGTTTCAAAAATCTTTCCAAGGGCTCCAAATTTCACAAAATTCAGGGTATCTATCTAACAGTTGAGATGTAAGTTCCTCCATCCTCATAATAAAATTAACTTTGCCAACCCACTCTCTAATCTGCGGCATCGCTGAAGATCTCCAATACCGTGGTATCACCGTTCTGGCTGCCACTAAAAGGTGTTGCATTAGGCCTCTTTTACCCTTGCAAATATCTCCCGGTATATTTGAAAGCAAAGCTATTTCTGGTGTTACTGACCAGTTTATCTCAATAAGCTTCTCACATATATTAACTATGGTTTCCCAATATGGTCTAATCTGTTCACATGACCACCAAATATGCATCATATTTCCCTCTTTATGACCGCATCTCCAGCATTGCTTAGATATGACTGAGTAAATTCTATGCAGGGTTTCCCCTTTCTGTGTTGATGACAACAGGCAAATGAGACAAAAAGCAAGAGTCAATCCCCTCAACATGAATACAGACAACAATAAAAATTAACAGCGCTTGTAACCCTTTCTCACTTTACTCAAAAAAAATAAAAAATACTTTTGTCTGGAGACTCTTTTTAACCCATGTGTGCAATCATTAAAATGAATATGATTAATTTATAAAATTAATATAATTCAAATGGCATTTTATACCAAAACAAAATCCATAAGACCCGAATATAACCTACCTAAGCCATATATATTATATCACAAAAAAACACAGACTATCTCACTAGACTACCTTAGTGCAATGGTTTCTCATTGCAGACACAAACAATAAAATATTAATTAAAATGTTTGGGAGCTGGGATGCTAGAATTATTCTACAACCAAATATGATGGAAAAAGACCAAAATTGCAGTATTCTATGTCCTAGTCACAAGCGCAGCACACCGGTTTATAAGTAGTCAGTATACCTTAACATTTACCGCTGGCACCTAACTTTCCAGGTTTTCCTAGTTGTTGTCAATGGAGCTGGCTCAAAAAAAAAAAACCCAACTAGCTCCTGGACTGGACAGACTGGCTCCTGAATTCCATATTAATTTGTTCACCCCTACCTTATATGATCCCTAATCCACCAATGCTGAGGTTCCAGGTCATACTGGACAAATATATAATGAAATGCCAGAAATGTTTGCTTTGCAATTTAGAACCCCTCTACTATCATTGTATTAAAGGAGAACTATGGGGTTAAGTCTTTGTCACCCTAGGCTCAGTATACTGCGAGCTGTAACTCGTGGTATACTGAGGCGCCGCAGTATACCACGAGCTGC